GGGGGGGAGAAGGGGATGAGGAGAGAGAGAAACGATTGGAACGGGGGTGTGGAATGAAATGAGAACTTAGGGTTTTAAATGATTAATTATTTAATTAAAATGATAAAAAAACCTTTTTTTTTAAAAGATAAAAAACCCGATAAATGTAAAAAAAGGTGAAAATCTGATTTTTTAAAATCACAAACTTAATGCCCGGTTTTGGTAATTTTCCCATAGGGTGGTTCCGGATAAAACTGCCCTCTCGATAAATAGTTGTGACAATAATTAGTAAGTAATTTTAAAAAAAAAAAAAAAATTTAAAACATACATATAAATAAATTTGACTTTTTAAATAGCTAAAGCTAAACACTAGAATTGGATAATGGTCGGCGGCTTCGGTATCTCCGGTGGACGACACGCTCAAACTCACCTTTGCAGAGTCCCATAAAATCCCATTCCTTAATGGATACACCAATATAGATTTTAAGTTTAACCGACAAAGATTATTATCTTCTTTCATACATTTCTATAAATATTAGTCGTATGTTATAGGTCTCTAAATACTCTTGTTAAGGAAGGAAATTGGGAAAACAAAAATCCATGGATAACCCTGCTGTTGATTTGGACCAACTTCTTGACAGTAAGAAAACACTTCTTTTCCTATGTGTGTTTGTGTGCCTGTATACAGAGTCACAGACATACATACATACAGATATAAACACACCCAGAAAGTGAATTTTATGTTTTTGAACTTTTTCGTAGGCGCTTTGGATGATTTTCAGAACCTCAATATCGCCTCTTCTGCTCAAAGGTCCAGCTTTTATTTGTTTCTAACAATTTATGTATATCTATTAGTGTATATATACTATTATAAAATATTTTTTTGTGGGTATAATTTTTTATTTTGAGCAATAACTGAAAGGGGTTGTTTTTCTTCTGTTACTTTCATTTTGGGTTTATAGAGGTGTGAGTAATGAAAATATTGATGATGGTGAGGGAGGGCAGAAGCAAGATAGTTCATCTTCATTGCCCAGTGGGGGTGTTCAAGGATTGGGGATGGGGTTGCCTGATTTGAAGAGTAAGAAAAAGGGTAAACAAAAGGTAGGAAAGGGGGAGTCCCATGTTTCTGAGGCTCTTGATAAGCTAAGAGAGCAAACTAGGGAAGCTGTCAAAGGTTTAGAGTCGGTGACAAGTTCGAAACTTCCACCAGGTGGAGAAAATTTCGGGAGTGATGCAATGATGGAGGATTGGGTTAAGCAGTTTGAGGAGCTTGCTGGCTCTCAGGTTGGTTTTCTTGCTCTATTTTATTTAATTCATGATTTTGGTTTAATTATATAATTCAGTTAAGCAGGACTGAAGGGGATATAAATTGTTCATCCTTTTTGAAAGGAAAGAATTGTCATTTTTAGCTCTAATTTTATATGTGTTGTAATTTTGAGGTTACTTAATTTTGTTTCTGGTATATCTAGTACCCTTGTTGGAAGTCTACTGTGTGACAGCTTTCTTGTTTGTAAATGGATAAAGAATGTGGATGATCTTTGGCTGTTATTGCTTTTGTGCTTAGACAGATACCTTGTTGTAAAATTAGAATGCCAAAATTTTATATCTTGTATATGATCTATGTAAACCTAGAGAGCAAAATGCACATCAGTTGATGCCTTGGCAACAACATATCTGAAGATATTGGTGCCTAACACAATAGTAGTTTCATTTTCAATTTTTTTTCTAATAGCCTAAGGAAGATTCTTACATCCCCATCCTTGAAGATTTTATTAATGCATTAGAATCTATCTCTTATAATTATCTAGAGGCTCTATTTGCTACTAAGGAAGTTGGTTAGAAATGGAAGGGGAGTGCGGTTATTTCACTTTTTGTAAAATAATTAGGAAACAGATTTTGAGAGAGAGAAAGGGAGGATATCAATAGTCCTTTATCCGAAGTGTTATCAGATCTTTGGTAAAAAAAATGTTAGAAAAATATGTACATATTCTTTTATATGTAACGGGGTTATAATAATGTCAATTTTTTCAAATGACGGGAGTGGCAGCAACAAGAGTGGCTATTGATAGTGGTCATAGTTGGCCTCAAGTAAGATCTGTAGAATTCTAATGTATAGTAGAACACGAGATTTGCAACTGGTGTTTCCAATGAAATATGTCTATGGAAGTCGGAAAAGTTTGTTTATCAATCTATAATTTCAATGAAGCTTCTACCTAAATTTAGAGCTGATTTTCGCATGTTGAAACTCTACAGGAGGAACATATTTCCTTTCAGTTAAATACTTTTTCCTCAAGCACCAAATATTTCATATTCCAATTGATTTTATTATTGCTGTTATATTTCTGTTGTTGCTTTAATTATGCCTTCCATTCGGATTAGGAGACTCGTCATAACCAGATTCTCTTCTACGAAGTCAAAATATCTGTTCCTTCAATACCCTTGGCAGAATTACTGCTTTTTCACCATGCCTATGGCTCTGTCCTTTCTTAACACCACCATAAACATTGTTGCCAACTTCTCTTGCGTTTATTGAAATGCCACCACATCTCTTATTATTGGTCTTTCACTCCTAAATTTCCACTTAAAATTTTTTAAGTCCATCCCACGAATTTCTGAGGACTTAGTGAATCTAAATGTGAGTGCAGTTAATTTAATTTCTGTTTTTGCTTTCAATACATTCTTTTTATTTTTTTTCCTCATCACATATGTATGGATGGAGAGGAATGGACATAGGACCCAGTACAGCCTTTTCTCGGTTAGGAATGTCTGTTAATCGCATCTTCAATGTGCATCAAGATGTATAAATTCCTTCTCCCCCCTTGTTAATGATCTCTCCACCTGAAATTTGTTTCTTCTATCTTGTTTATTGAGGCATAATGTTCCCTAATATGCACCAAGAAATTAGCTGATGTGTGCATTTTTGGTGCCTATTCTTGTAAATAAGATCTTTGAACCCGGAAGGATATGATGGGCAAGCGAACAAATGGCACCTAGAGAAGGGGAAAAAAAAAGATAAGAAAAAGAGCTGTATTCCAATTCATTCACAAACGAGCCAATTTAACGAGCAAGGCTGCAAGAGAAGTGTTATATTCAGACGGTTTCAGAGGCAAATGTTGAATTAGGTTGCCGGGCTGAAATTTATTTATGGAAGATAGGGCATTGGAAAGTTATTCGTTTTTCATGTCTATTAAGATCCGTGAACACAGAAATGTTCTTCCTCGAATTTTTTACTTTTCTAGGATAGAAGTTGCACAAGTATGCATTGGAGCATTTATGCGTTACCTTGGCTATACCTCTTTTAAGTAAATTGTGGTTAATTTATTTTTCCAGCTTGTTACTTAAAACTCTACTGGCAATGGCAAAATTGGAATTTGTTCAACCTTTTGCCCCCTTGAAATGCATATTCAGCATCATGAGCTTATGTATAGTATTGTTCTTTGGCATAATGGTAAAAATATACTATAATTCCGTAGTTGTGGCACAAATATCTTCTTTGTCGGTAATGGACCAATCAGCAGGAACTCTTCAAGTTTTCTATGTGTCTTTCATTCCTACTATAATTGTGACTGTATTTTAGTAACACCTTGTAATGTAGAAGAATATACAGAATGATGCCCTGAATGAAGAAAATAGGACACATTAAAGGAGTGAGCAAATATCTAGCGAAGTCAACTTATTTAGGGTTAAGGAAATCACCGAATCTGATGAAATACTTATTCCTTATACCCTGACTAAGCAAATCAGACTTGGATGTATGGTTTCCCTTTAATGTTTCAACTTGAAGCAAAATCTTTGCTAAGTATTGCCAGTGGATTGGAGCGGTAGTGAAAGGACGTCTTTTTTGAGATTATGATATGGATGATATCTATTTCTCGTGCTTTTTGGTCTTCACACTGGTTCTTGATTCATGTTTTGTTCTGGATAAAAGCTCTGCCCTTGATTATCCTGCACAGCATTGACTCTCGTTCTTGGCTAATGTTTCCCGTACTCAGGTCATTGTGAATAATGAGTAGAATTGTGCGTCATCATTGACATGCCATTAGTAATAAAAAAACTTATCCAAACATGTTTGAAAACTAAATTTACTTAAAAGCAAGTTTAAGAGCAAGTTTAAGTTACTTTAAAGCTTAGTCAAACATACTCTGTCTCCTTACTTTTTGTCCCTAAAAATGACATCACAACTTACACTTGTATTGATGACAATGAGTATCCATAGCTCCTCATCTTATTTTTGCAGGATATGGAGTCAGTTGTGGAGACCATGATGCACCAGCTTCTGTCTAAGGAAATTCTTTACGAACCTATGAAAGAAATTGGAGAACGATATCCGAAATGGTTGGAAGACAATAAACCGAGCCTGTCCAATGAAGAATATGAACGTTATTTCCACCAGTATGAGCTAATAAGAGATCTAAATCAAGTTTATGATAGTGAGCCAGATAACTTCAACAAGATTGTTGAGCTCATGCAGAAAATGCAAGAGTGTGGTCAACCACCGAATGATATTGTGCAAGAGCTTGCTCCAGATTTTGATATATCAAATCTTGGACAATTGTAAGTGCAATACATGATTACTTCATGCACTTTAAACATAATTCGTTTATAATGTGCTAATGATACACGAGCCACATCAGATTTGTTATTAAAATCTAGATCCCGTTAGTTGTAGAGGTATAAATTGGACTGTTACGTCCCAGCACCGCGTGGTGTTGGATAGGGTCCTTTCTGGACCACCCTTGGCCTGGCATGGCCCAACTCCAGTAGTAGGGTGGAGTGGGTGGTGCCCAGCTCCAGTGTCAGGCTGGCCCTAGGCATATACTGATCTGTCAGTTGCACATATATGCAACCTCTAATCATAGTATGTGATGCTGCAAGCCCTTTATTTGTCTTTTGGGGTTGAATGGTCGACCAGGGGAATGTTAAGAGACAAAAATTTACTTTGTCTGAACAAAATTAAAAGTGTGATTATTGCTTTTCGAGTAGGTGGAGTTAAGTTAGTGACATTGTAGTTAATTTACTTGGCTTAGAAGATGTGCAACTTTCTATTATAAATGGTAACTATCATTTGGTAGACCGTGTATGTTGGCCTTTGTTTCTTAAAGACCACCATTCGTAGTCATCCAATAACCTTTTACTTGATCATACTGACTATTCTATGATGAATTATTTTCCGTTCTTGTAGGTCTCCGGAAATGTTGGAGTCTCAACAGAATTGTGGTATTATGTAAGAATGGTGTGGATTATTTTCATTGGTCCCCTTTTGCATGTCATCCAAAGGTTGTGTGAGCAAATTGCTGTGGCTTCTGGTGCCCAAAAATAGACCATGATGGTATTTTATGTGCTAATATAGGACATTTGCTGTCTTTTTGAGATTGAATTTACTTTAAAAGAAATGTAATCTTGAAAAAATTGGCATGATGCAATATTTGGCATTGCATATTTTAAATAATTTTGACAGATTTTTAGGAGAAAAGAAGGTATTTTTCCTATCATGGAAAATGATACCACCAAATATTAACTGGAATGTTTTCGTCTTTTGTTCTCAATGTGTTTTTTATCTTAGATTTCTTCGAATGTTTGGTTGTATTTAAAAGCAGTGTTCTTTTTTGCACTTCATAGTTTGTACCATAAAAAAAAAAAAGCAAAAAAATGCTGCTTTTAAGCTCAACTAAACATGCCATCAAAAGCAGGCTAAGTTGTAGGAATGTTTCCAGTGGAAGTGGTTGATAATGTAAAAAAGTGTGCTATGTGCCTGATGTTTGGCAAATCAGTATCTATAATGAATAAAACAATGACACTTTTGTATAAAGAGAAAGTCAGGGATTTTGCTATTCAACCATGGTTTGATTATGGGTTCCTAACCTTCAAAATTGGGGTTTTGGGTTTTCCACATAAGTGCTTATTTCGTAGTGCTCAAATTATAATTTAAGCGACGAATGTCAAAGAATTTGTGGATACAACTCGGGTAATAAGTTTCGGGGTTTTGGAATGCCCGAGTAAAAATTATATTTTTAGTAGATTTTGATAAAAGTTGATGAAATATGTGGTTGAAAAGTTGTGAATTTCATAAAATGTATGATTAAAATTAATTGTTGACTTTAATTTGAGATTTTAATTGAATTTTAATCTAAACCAAACAAGGACCTAATTTTATAAAGCTATAGTCTCGACGGAGGTTGGACTTGGATCATGTGGAGATCTGGGGCCTATTTGTTTTTGATTCTCAAATTCTACAGTAAATCAATTTTCATTTTCAACTACACATTTTTCAATAAAATAATATTTTCCATTACATCAATAATTTTTTCATCTTTTTTAATCACACATTTTTCATCATATCACTATTTAAAAATCAATTCTTCCCCCAAAAATCCCTACCAAACAAGCACCTAATTTGAGGATGGAACAATTTTTCAAACACAAAAAATAATAAGAATAGAAATAAAAAGTAAAAAAAAAAAGAAGTTATTTAAGCTTCTTTTTTTTTTGTTTCGGCGGACGGGCGGAGGGACCCCATTGGCCCCACATCTTTGGCACTGTCTATTAGTATATTAATATTGTTCTATCCACTTTATGAACATACGGGATATTTTTAACTTTCTATTATCACATATTGAAAGGTTTTCTCTAGAGTCATTTTAGGGGAGAGCGTCTTAACACTTAGGTCATGTTTGATAGGAAGAATTTTTCATGGAAGTTGGAAATTATATTTCATTTTCCACCTTTTAGACTGTTTGATAGGAAAGTTTTTTTAGGCAATTGGTTTTTCAACTTATACCTGACCCCATTTTCCACATTTTCCATGAATTGGTTTTTCCACGTGTTTGGTGGTTTTTGATTTTTTAGGCAATTTTTTTCCCTTTTTTTTGGCAATTGTAACAAATTTGATTCCTTTAATGAACAATTTTCATGAAAAACAAAACTAAACGAACACTAAAAGATTCAAAATTTCAATATTTTTTAGGTGAAAAATTATACCAATTAAACACAATTAATTGAAAATTCCCACTAAAACAAGTTCTAGACAATTCAATTAACTGAAATTCATTTTCTTTTCACCCAAATTCCATTCTTGCAATCAAATGGACCCTTAGTTGTTATAAAGAAGAGTAATTTTTTTTTTTTAATATTACACTAAATATATCCTCTCATGCACATCATTTTTTTTTTATATTACACCTTTAAAATATATCATTTCATAAATTTTTTTTTTGAACGAATATATATTAAACATGACAGGTTGTTAACTTATCCATGAACGAGCAAGTTTCACCGTATTTTTCCATATTCATTTTGAACTTCAAATTAGTATTTTGTACTCTCCTCACCCCATTTATACGGTTGATGTTGGGAATATTTAGCCTATTGCAAACACAATACACAACATTAACAGAGTTCTAGCAGCTCAACTTAACCAATGACAGATCTGTAATATCAATCCCAGAATCAACATTAACAATATGTAATCAACATATACCAATGCATTCAAGTATATATCAGAAACCAGCAGAATATATATAACCCATTCAATATTGTAATCCAATATTAAGATTAGCATATCAACAGAAAACATAGGCAATATATATAGAACTAAAAACAGAAATGCACTTCCCTTTCTAAACGTCCAGAAGACAGCCCTCTTCTTCTTCCTTTCACCGGTTGTCCTTCTCTTCTTGCTGGCCGAATAGATAAGGCTCAGGAACAGTCCCTCCACGCTTTGCAATCGCCGTCCAGAGAGAG